TTCACTTAACTTTGAGGTGGATGAAAAATTATGATCAAGACAGATAGACCCTTTCTATTTCTAAAGAAAGCCGGGACTGGAACCAGAAGAAGCCTCTCACTGTGTTAGCTGCCATACTACATATATTAACAGCACTGTCAGCGGCAGGCAGCCTGACATGAATCACTTGGGAGATGACAAGCAGTGCTTTCCTAGAAATCAGAGGAATTTCACTCTCAACATTGCAGCTCAGATTCATCTTTCACAAAGCAGCAACTTAGGAGCTGGAGATTGCAGTGCTTTTAGCGATACATCTTCACTACAGCATCCATCGGTAACTTCTCATGGGGACCTTCACCTGCTCCCGGTGTTGCTCCCATTTCCTCAGGCACGGCCTTCACTGCTTGGCTCTCAAGCATGCTGTTGTGTCCTTTGGCTGGAGGACAAAGCTATTCCTCCCAGAAATGCCAGCAAATGCTTTCCTGTAATTGGCTTTCTAAGGAATATGTTGGAGCAGTAAGCTGCTCTCACCTCCTTCCGAAAGAGGAGCTAGGGACTTTACTGGCAGCCCAGCCAGTTTCCTAGCAAGGTTTAGCAGCACCTAGCATCTCCTAAAATGCTAAGCGGGAAGAAAAGCAATAAATAAGAAAAAATAAAACCCTATTAGCAAAGGATTACTGTGTAAAAATCCAAGACAATGAACAGGAAAAGTGAAGGGGTAACGGACACGTTAAAATGCTGTGGACAACAAGCTGCTCAGAGGAAAGTGTATTTGTTCTTTCTTTTTAAAACTCACTATTTATTTTCTCTTTTCTTCAGGCTTAATGTCTCACTAATGAATTCCAGGGGGATTTTTGAATCATGGTGATATCATGGGTTAAACTCCTCTCTACTTTTTGAATGTAAATTCTTCTTGACATTCTTACTTATTGCAGAGCATTGACTTCTTTCCTACAACAAAACCAAACGCTATTTGGTTTTGCATAGTTAACATTTCGCTAATGGGTAGCCAAGATTCTCTCAGCAGCTCAACAACATTTTCTAAAGCACGCTGGCGTTGTTGTAGCAACTGGTGGCTGATCTGTGAATAAAGCAGATGTCATTGTGGCAGGATAAAGAGAGAATAATCTATCACCCAGCCACTACCACTCCTGCCCAAACAAGTCATCAAAATGACAACTCTGATGTGTAGTCATCAGTTAAGGTCTGCGTATCACCTTAACTCATCTTCTTGCAATATAAACCATCATTATGTTATAAATGTTGGGAATTTCTCAGCCCTTCACTGTTGCCTTTCTCATGAAGAAGGCTCAGCGAGGATGTGCTGAGGCACTGATGGTTTGCCAGCTTCCTTTTAGGCTTTGATTGATTTTGCATTTTCATCCAAGCTGGTCTGGCCTAAATAAACACAATATACATTCTGGGAAGTTTTTCTCTTTACTGCTTCATTTGAATTCAGTTCATGTGGCTTGCAACTAAAGATGGGCAAGCATCAAAATATTCTGACTGGTACCCAAGCTGAGTACAAAAGGAGAGACAGAAACAGATAAATTACTGTTCTAACTTCTCAGAAAGGCTTTAATCCATTTATTTATTTTTTAGCTTCTATTCTCAGTCTCACAATTTGTACTTAGCAAGCACAACTCATTGACCCGAGTGAGTCACCTCACGTCCCCCTTCTTCGGTGACGGAAAACACCATGCAGTAGCACTTCCCTGTTAAATGTTTTCCATTGGAATATTTGTTAACTTTTTTTTTTTGTTTTCAATGATGAAGCATCACAGAAACTATTCCCTGCTTTATGGAGCCCACAGCTGTTGCAGTGAGTTTCAGCTTGCCAGAAGCTATTTGTACTGCTCTCCACATCTTCTGGCTTAAAAAGCCTGCTCTCCACTAGCTGCTTTGCCACACATCTTTGTTAATCATTTGACTTAAGGAGACAAAACATAAGACCAGGTTTCTCTGATTTCCCTGGTGTATGACTCATACTTAATGTGAAGGCTATATTAATTACTGTGTGCTTAACATTTAATGAGGCTGAGAAGAGGAAGGAGTCTCCTCGCTTCAGCTATATAGAACGTGCAGTGAGCCTACTAGCCTGCAGTGAATACTGTTCTAAAACACTAAAATCTGGGCATACATTTTATAAATGAAGGCAAATCAGACATTGCTTGAGTTCCCCAAAACAGCATGGCAAAAGCTGAGAAATCTGGGCCATGGTCCTAATTCTTTCACAGACTTCCTTTTTGCCCACCAGCCAACCCTCTTGTGCTTTGTGTCCTGACTTCCTGTCTGTTTATGAGGATAATAGCAGCTGACTGAGGCCAGGCTTAGGCTTAGTGCAGAATATTTGTACAACTTCACACCACAGCATTATTGAAGGCCAAAAGGAATTATCCTGATTATTTTTTTTTAAGATATGCATAAACAACATTTGTGGTGATAAATTATACACTTTCAGTTGTGTGTGATGGCATTATGGTCAAACACTACTGCCTGTACTGCATCTTCTCCGTCCTTGTCTGTTGACTTCTAGTTAATAGCCTCTGTAGTTTAAAACAGTTCTGATCAAACTGAAATAATTTCTAATGCAGCTAGATATGGACAGTTGCGTAGCCCATAGTATGTATTTCTGTGGGCCCACTTATAAAAGAAAAATTTCTAGGAAATAAATTAAGCACAAGAAGTAGCTCACAAAAATTTCCCTTTGCTGACTCAAGGGAATAGATGTTTGGTTTTTGCTTGAGCCAAATGCAATTGCACGAAGAGCTGTGTGACAACTAGGCAGCCTGAGCTTGTGCTAAAATCTATCCATTCAGCTAAGCTGGCTTTCCCTGGTAAACTCAGTAAAGAGCCTTCCATGCACTGATGTTTTCTGGGATTTTCCTTCCTATGTGCTTCTTCTGTTTTCCAAAGTTTTTCTGGGCTACACCCTATCTGTAATAGGCCATTGGTTTCTTTATCATTCAAGTTGATTTCATTTATTCTGTAGGTACTACAGGGCCAAAACTAAGCATCAGCTCTGGTGCAATTCCTGTGCAGTCCCATTTAAATTGATGGGTTTGCCTGACAGAGAACAAAACTTAGCACTCCCTTCACAGGTTTTGCTACAATTCATTATAAAACTTTAGCCAATTACAGAACACTTGTTCTGGTCTTCAACTTTCTTTTAAATAACTACCAGTGTAGGTTTATCAGTAATTCTTACACAGTGAATTAGGGGGACGTGGTGTATTGGATGTGGAGTAATTCTAGATTTCTTTTCTTGGTCTGAAAAATTAGAGGTGCATTGTGAGAGGATGAATGATTTTGGTGCTGAGCATACTGCTTCTCTATTGTATTGTAGCTCACGTGCAGACAGAAAATCATGATACACAAGCCACCAGTGACTGGGAGTGGATCAGAGAGATTATAAACACTATGGAGAGCTAAAACTCCAAGTACTGGGAGAGAATAAAATAACTGGCACGTAAGTGCTGCAGGCAAGCATGCTAGTGAAAAGCAAAAAGTGAAACACTGCAGTAACAGAAAGTTGTGTGTAACACAGTGTTCCCGAGGAAAAACTGCCGTGAGTTCTTAAAAACTACAAGTGGGCAAGGTTTTATATGCTGCTAGTTTGGGGCTTGTGACATGCTGCTAGTGAGTTGTTTGTATCAACAGCCACAAAACTAACTGTAGATCTGGTATGATATATACAACTTATTTTTTGGTACAGGGAAAGGATACAAGCTAGCACTGGAAATACAAAAACTAAGGTTATTAGAACTAAGAGAATTTGGCTATGTGCTAATGATCACAGGTAACTGGTACAGTTTTGACACCATTCTCTTCATCTCATTTTTGTTTTTTGTGCATGCAATCCTGGAAACATTTCCGCAAATTAAATACAATCTCATCTTGTCCCAGGGATCTGAAATCCAATTACAAGGCAGGAATACTCCCTAACAAGAGTTTGATACAGCAACTTCTTTGACAAAAATACAAGATCAAGGCCAGGAATTATGTGAACCTGAGAGAACCAGTAGTAAATATATTGGCTGTGCTTAAAAGTGTGATTTCTCTGGAAGTTGATTCTGGCCACCCAGTTGCAAATTACAGTATATGCTATTGATGAATCTATGAATATGTAACAACAAAAGGGAAAAATCAGTTCTTCCCTAAAACTCCAAAGCACCAAAAGAAGCCTTTAAGGTTTTACAGCATCATCTTAGAACAAGGCAAGAGATTCACCAAGTTCTGGTATCCCTCTTCAAACACCTGGAGTCCTTGAAATCCAAGTACACATTTAAACTTAATCATATTATTGTTTGTTTCCAGAAGAATGATTAAAGAATAAGATGCCTGCCTTTGAGGAATTCTTGGTATGATTTTGACTAGAAGAACATAAATTAGGTGAGTCAGCTAGGTCACGTTTCATGGTGAGAGCTATTCAAGATAACCATGAATTGGTTAATAACTATGAATAACCATTTTGGAATAAGATGAACTTCATTATCTGCTGTACTGTGTGATAAAATTGCTGTACCTGGTTCAATCTGGGACATTAAAGCACTGACCCAGGTGGTACCCCAGCTGGTTGACAGCAGCAGTACATCACTTTTAGCCACCCCTGACTCTGCAGGTAAACCACTGAGTCTGCAGTTTAGTCCCACCAACAAGAGCTGGAGGGCTTGTTGTCCAGTTGGGCTTCTTGGGGTTACAAGCTGGGGGTAAGGGACTGTATTAGTAAATACTCTTATTGTGGATATTCACAGTGCATCGTTCCTGATATCTATAATAATGATAAATGTAAAAATGGTGTAAAAAAATACTTATGTGGAATCTTCATGTGAATATGTTCACCCTGATTGCCATCTCTGATGGTTCTGTATTCAACTAATTGCTGTTAAAGTGTGGTCAGTTGTGTAATCCACAAGGTAATTCATTAACAGCTTTGCATAATATGATGATTGTCCATTATTTTCCTTTTCTGAGTAACTATGTACCCTTACAATAACTTAACCAAATGAGTCACTTAAGAATACATTTGAAGGATGATTTTCATTTAATGATCACTTTTGAAAGACATATCTCCATTAGGTTTGTGCATACATGGCAAAGAAAACTTAATCATTGACTGTTTTGGGTAGATACTTCAAGTATTCAAGCTAATTGCATTCAAGTTAGTTCTCCTTTAAAAAAAAGGCCAAAAGGTAAAATCCTTAAAACTTGCTTAGAAATCCCAGTGTGGAGCTGTATCATTTCCATGAATCAGGGTTTGAATAAGGAAGTGAGATTTCGTAAATAAGTTTCCCAACTTGTAGTTATGTTTGTTCTCTTACTCTTCCTACTCCTCTTACTCTTCCTGCTTCTTGAATGTATGTTTCATTTAAAAGCCTCTGCTAGGTTATTAATGTGACCGGCAATCCAGCACTTCCCTTGGTTAGCGGAGATGAAAAGATATATTTTCTTTTGAGAGCTGTATTGTTCTGCAGTTGTGTGCATTTCAGTCCCATTGTGTGGTTCTTCACCAAGTCAAAACAGAGCTCTTCTATCCCTGAGGACAAAGAACAAACTGTTGTTGGGGGGTGGAATATCTACAAAATCATAAATCTTTCTCCCTCTCCTGTTTATTCTTCATGCCATCCAAGCACGTTTAGGGAATAGCCAATTAACTCCAGACTCATGGCAGGTTCTTATGGGCCATATTCCTCTTCTCTAAGAGGATGCAACCAAATTTCCAAGTACTTTCTAGCTGAATACAGCATTTGTTTTTCCTTGCTCTTTAATTTATAGGTAAATAATAGATAATTTATTGTTATCCTAAAGTGATATCTCAATTATCAATAAAATTGAAATTTTTTCTAAGTAATGCACAGATCACCAGCAGTATTGTAAAATATTAGGCAAGTGTGTACCAAATTAATTTTACCACACATCCAGTTCTTTATTATATGAGTAAAACTGTTTAAAGATATTCGTCCTTCAAGAATTGGCCATTGCACATCATTGCATATTGAAATATATGGGAAGCAGAAATTGTACAGGTGGGTTTCCTATAGTAAAACATGCTGTGAAAGTAATAATTTGTAAAATAACTATAATCAGTGAAGAAAACACACTTTTGATGATGATATTATATCCACTAATTTAAAAAAAAAAAAAAAATCCAAACTGAGGGGGAGGGATTCCAAAGTCAAACGTTAGAACTGAGCTTTTTAACCATAACACAGTGTTGTAATTAACATCCATACTGTATGTACTTCATTACATTTTATGTCCTGTCATTTCTCAATGCGTGGTATTTAGAAGAACTAAAAGCAGTGACTCAATTCCAAGAAAAAATTGCTTTTATATTGCTTTATATTGACAAGTCATACCTTTGAATGTAAGTTATGTTAATAATTTTTTTTGATATCTCATGCTGGTGTCTGAATTACATAAAAATTATATGATGTGTTAAGTGGCAGGTCTGCAAAGAAACTGTATATTTAATCCTAATTATGCAGGATCAGGTACTGCTTGGGCTTGTGTTCTTACATGAACATATGCAAGAAGCGAGTCTGAAAAAATGCAGCACATTCAGGCAGCTTCCAAAAGGTCAGGCTATCAGGCTGAAACTGCAGCATCTCTTGTAGTACTTCTGGATGCCTTTTTCTCAGAAAGTTTGCTGACAGTTTTCTCCACTTTCGCAGCCTTAGGTAGGAGTTTTGCCTCAGAAAGACGATTGGACCTAAGATATATCTATATTGCCTACTGCTTGTAATGCTTGCTCTTATCTAGAGGAGTCAGTGAATGCACTGCGTGCTGGCTACTGGTTTGTTTTCTTTACCGACACCTCTGTAAAGGCATGAGGTCCTGTCATGGGGAAATGGAAGAATCTGGTCTGTCCCTGTTAGAACATACAGTATCATCTGTAGCTCCGCGTCATCTTTCTTACCCAATGAAAGACGATGTTAAACTTGGATTCTTTTTTTTATCAGCCAAAAAAGAATCTAGCAGGAGGAACAGAATGAATCCAAAATCAGAAAAAACATTTGCCCCTCAAATATCCGGAGAAATTAGCAGTGATGAAAAAGGAAATACTGTAAAGGGAACACAAGAAGATTTAACTGGGCTCTGAAAAACAAATGAGCAGCCTACATTTGTCTATTGTTTTTGTTTTTGTTTTTTGATTGTGGGTTGTTGGTGGGTTTTGGGGGGATTTTTGAGCTCTGGCCTTTTAAGAATAATGTAAATGCCAAAAAGAGCTGGACAAAAAGTAAGCGTTGTATCCTATCTATGAGAATCAGACGTGTATCATGCTAGTTGTTACAGTCATAGTCTACAGTCTTCAGTGATTAAAATCAAATTTGACAGTAACACAATATAGAGGTTTAACTGACAGCACACACAGCACATTTGCTAGTCATAACGCCAGAGTTTAATGACTGATGCATGTGGGAAGCTAATTTGGATTTTTTTCCTGAATGGGATAAATGAGCATCCAGTTAATGCCAATCATGAATTCAAGCCATGTGACAAGATTGATGCTACATACCCTGTTCTTGTTTTGCATATTCTGCAAAATGAACTGCAGGAAAAGAGCCAGTTTGTACACACATCCGGAGAGAAAGTTCAATCTGCTTTCTGACACATCCACCAATTGCAGCTGAATGTATCCAGCTTGCTGCTGTTGTGTCCACAAACTAATTACCCTTTCTCTGTTAAATAGCCTAAGAATTACAAATTGTATGCCTGTTTTGAGAAAAAGTACAGGTTGAACAAGCAGACGAAGTATAAATAAAATATTTATATAAAAATAGTCTCTTACAAAATATACTCTCTTATCCTATGGTTGATTTTCCAAAAGATGGAAGTTTGTCTGGAGTTTCTTATTTTTAGACATATTTCAAACAAGATTTTATTAATGCTTCTTTCTTTAATTGAAGAAAAAAAATGGTAAAGATTTGCATCCCCTACCACTTGACTTTTGTTCCAGACAACTAGCAGCAAACAGGAAAAATAAAAAATAAAAACGAAAAAAAAACAGTGTGTTTGTGTATGTACATATATATAAAGATGTCAGCTTTTGCACTTAAACATCTAGTACTGTAGAACACATCCTGCAAGTCCAACTAGTAGAAATATCCTAGTTAAGAATAATATATACAACTCCAGTTTTTCCTTGCTGTTTCTACAAAATTATTCCACAAAGAAAGCAAGCTATCTACTTTAATTGCAGAATAGTTCAAAAAATGTTGGTAGAGTTCTTTTTAATTAAATAAATTAATATTAGTTTTATCTGAATAAATTGTTAAATATTGCTATTGTTATGCCCAAGTGTCCCAAATCCCTGTGCTAAATCTGCAGCACACACACACACAAAATGCAGATAAAGCAGTGTCTACAGAACATGTCAACAGTTCTACTCGCTGTAGCAAGTGGTATGAAGTGAAAAGATGGGCAAGACCGGCAGAAGCTTTTCAGAAGTGTAGAAGCCTAAATCTGTGTCATCTGCACACTCACATGGGCGCTTCACGATGGGGCACTGTCCATCCCATCCTGTGCAAAGCCCATGGCTGAGGACTTTTCCCCTACCCCACCCTGCTCCTTATACACACAAGTTTTCGACCATCTTTTTTTTTTCCAAACCGAGTTCATTGTCATGCTCAGAGATTTTTCTCTGGTGTCTCTTCCCAAGGCAGTCAATGCTTCTTGCTTCAGAGGTGCAGATTAACTGAATGATCTCTTCTCTCTGTTTTGTGTGTCAGGGGGCTGGGGGGCGGGGAGGGGGGTGTTTTTTGTTTCTTGGCTGACTTTCTTAAGAGTCTGAAATGTGTATCCACATAAGCAATGAAACATGAGAAGAAAAGACAGGGATCCATTCATCAGCGTTTCTTCTGGGAGAGCAGATCTTTGCTACGGTCTCGTGTAGGTACATTGAGCGCATGTGCAAATGTACTCGCAGCCAGGGACACAGCCAGCCTGCCCAGCCACGTACTCATTTACAGGTATATACTTCTGTTCTTTCACTGCATGTGTTGCATTTAACATAGCAGCACCAATGAAATTTGCAGTTGCACTGCCACACTCTCGAGTACTGGTGCGTGTTGTAACCTCGCCCACAACACATCAGGTCGCAGCCATTGGACTGCTGGGCTGTCTTGTTGCACATCCTCCCCTGTGTTCCCACGCTGCCGGTGACGGGGTCTTCTTCACAATAATTGGGAGATTTTTCTATGTACACTAAATCTGTATCCATGGGTTTGCGATAAGAAAGTGGCTTCTTTATTTTGAGGAAGGTCGGACGTTTGTTGCGACTTGCCCTCACTGGTTCGACCTGAACTGCTTCGTTGTATTTGTCCTTAAGGATGTAGCCCAGCTCCCGGAACTTAGGCAGGGTTGTCCAGCATGTCTTAGTGGTACAGGATCCCGAGACCCCATGGCACTTGCACTCTAACTTCATGTTTTCTTCCAGAATCTGGATTTGGAAGAACAAAGAATGATGCATTAATAAAAACTAAACACTTAAAAAATAAAAAGAGGTTTATCTGATACCTATTGAATAACAGTTACAGAGAGGGTTGCTCTCCAGCATTAGCTGTCACCAGGCACGGGCCAGGTTCCCACCAGAGCTATGGGCTTTGCTTGCCTGGTGATGCTGTTGTCCCAGGTAGCAAATGCTTACGGGTGTCAGCTAAGTTCTGCCTCCAAAGTTTGCACTTTGAGTTAAACAGGGAATGTGAGTGCCTAATTTCACAGACTGTAGACCAAGTGTAAATTGGGATCCTCGTTAACCACAGCTTTTCTTCACCTTGCCTTGTACAGTGCTTCAGATTCATCTGTTTTCCAATTTTTGGCATGTGGCAGTGAAATGAGGAACTGGCAGAAAATCACACCTTTACTGTAGCAGCTTTACACAAAATGCCACATGCAGAATGCTTTGAAAGTTCAATAATAGATAATAGAACTTGATTTTTGTAAATAGGTATTCCAAAATAAATTGAATTTCTGTTCTTGGACCTGAAAATGGCGTAAGCTGGTGTAAGATGTGAACAAGCAGATAAACTCTATCCTCCTGTTGGTGTCATGTTAATCAGCAGCGTAGAGCAGACTATTATTTAGTTATGCAATCATCTGTTCTAAATGTTGCAAGTTAATGCTGCAGTTTGGAAATCTAAGTATTATTTCAGTACACCCCAGCCTTACATTCCTTGCCATGCATATACAGTATACCACAATCTTTCCATTTTTTCCTAAAGCATTTTGCTCTCCTCTCTCACATGGGTAATGGAGCATACAAAATACCTGGGCTACTCTGCCAAAAAATGGCTTTGTCTTAGAGCATAAGGAGTATGAGTAAAGAGGAGGAATTGCTTTCATGTTTTGTCATCAATTATGGTTAAAAAATTTCCACCTCCTTAGTACCACAAAAGCTTCTCAATCACATCGTCTTGGCTCCACCCTGTCTCACGTTCTCTTCTTTGTAGGGTCCTCTTATATTTAAGGCTGAGTTGTCACTGCTTTCCTTTTGATGATAACGAGCTTCATATTCCCTTCAGCCTTCACATCCCTTGAAACTTCAGCCTCTCCTGCTCTTTCTTTACCAGCCCCAGTCCTTGCCAACTAACACTGGAGACCAACTTAGTCTCTGCTGTCTGACCCAAGCACTAGAGCTGACCTCACTTAGCAGCTACAGTGTTAATGCTAGAAAAATTGCTAATTGATAGAATAATTCCAGCAATTAATTTCCCACTGGTGTTGGCTTGAAAAGATAATAATAATTCTTCTGATTACATTCTGCCTAGCCTGGTAGATAGCAGCAGTGGGAAGCCCAGCTGGGGGATTATCTGGGTTCAGGGAGTGGCCACATCATTTTTCCCCTGAGAATCCTTAGCTGATCTGTGCAACCCCAAACCTGGGCAGCCTGGAAGGCTGGAGGGAGGTCAGCAATGTGGAAATTTGGATTAACCCTTTTCCGTAATGCCCCACTTTTGTTTTTGGACATTAGGAAAGCTTACCATGCAGACACCGGCTGCTGCTGAACAGGACAGCCTGCCCTGAAGGAGTTGGGTCCAGCTCAAAGGCTAGACACGCGCTGGGACTTCAGGTCTAAAATCTCAGCATAAGAGACTGAGTGGCTAGGAGTCAGAGTACCTCTGAGCTTATGTGGCCAGCAAATCCTATGTAGCACACTAACACTGGTGAACACAACTCCATCCTACTTGTGGAAGCCTTAAAACAGGCAATGTAGAGGCTGCATGTAGTAGCTTATTACTGTCACACCTTTTGGTCTTGAGGCTGTTCACATGTCATCTAGGCACAATAATTGCTATTGCCTAACTTTAGAGTAGTTCATACCTGTTTTTTTTTTATTCACTGTTCCTTCTCTGCCATTTTTAAATGAAAAACTGGATTTAAAAAGCATTTAAATGGCTTTGGTTTTATTTTAGTCCATTGCTGATGTGTCAGTACATGTGGTCTGAAGATGAGATTAAAACCCCTAGAAAGTATAGGTCCAAGGTTTTGACAGGTGTGAACTTAGCCTATATTACGTCACGTTTTGTGCTACTGTTTTAAAATTAAATTTTCAGGCAAACTATCCATCCAGTGACTTTCCAAAAACTGAAATGTGAGAAACTTTGATATTCAGATCTACATATTAACTTTCAGTTCTGCTCAAACTTTGGCTTACATTTTGCATTATCTTGTTATCTTGAGTTTCTCTCTCAGCCACTGCATACTTCTTTTATTGCTCACTCATTCATAAGGTAGTACTCTTAGAAGATAAATGAGGAGACAGAAAAGGAGTTATAGCACAGAAACCGGAAAAATAACATAAATTCTTTTAGCCTCATTTGTACTTTTTTAAAAGCTCTCTTTTTTTAATTTGAAACTAGCCAGGGATACATTTCTCAGCCTTAATTCAATCACTGCTCTCATTCAAGTGGCTGGCCTTGTATCTGGTACGATGTTCAAACTTGCAACAAAATATTTCTAACATCAGGAACCGCCAGATTGACTTGAAACATTAATACAAAATACATCATGACTTAGTGTCATCTATCCAGGTAGGGCTTTTCTCTGAAGTGTAAATAGCCTAAATTGCCTTTTGGTTTATTTCATTAACATCCCGTTTACAGACAGCGATCTCTAAGACAAGGAATATTTTCCCCCAGAAAGAGCTGAGCAAGTGGCTAGAGCAGTTCAGCAATGGTGCGTGTCATGTACTTGCCTCTTGCTCTGGGTGACATGATGCCAACCCAGACAAGAATCTGGATTTCTGGCCTCGCTCAGCTAAGGCCAGGCACGAGCAGTTAGGGTAAAAACATCTGGCTTTGCCTGAAGATGAGACATTTGACCAATATTAGTTAAGTCCAAGTATTAGGGGTACTTTTTAGATGACCAGAAACATTTGAAAGTGTGGGCAGAGGATGGACAGATAGATGAGAAAGATTTTTCTTTAAATGCTGTGCTACATTTATTGTTCTCTTTCTCTCTCCCTCAATTTCTCTCTCTCTTTAGGATAGTGCTTTTTAAGATGTTCTGGCTAACTTTGTATTTTCTCTTGCCCTACTGGAGTTGCATTTCTATTGCACTGTGCTAAAATCACTCCAACACATCTGCCTAGTTTGGGCTCACACTTTTTACATTAGATTAAAACTTTATATATGTTATAGACTGAGTTTCCTAAAATGTAAGAGCTTGAAGAGCACAAAATGTAAAATCTAGATCCGCCGTTTCTTACCAAAAGACCGTATCCTGCTCCATTAGCCATAGAGAGTAAATCTATATGCACCATTGAATGCTCTGAACCAGATTAGATGCTAACAAAGAGCTGGAGTTCGTTTAACTTTGTCCACTTTTTCTTTGAGTTCCTACAGTAAACTGTCGGTACTTGTTTCTCTGTGTCTTCTTTGCCATTAGCCTCTGGGAAATAGTTTGTGTGAAGAGAACTTGCTCTGGCTCTCTCTATTGATGTTATCTTCAGATATAGTACCTTTGGGCAGTGCCATAAGGAACATAACATGTTTTTTCTTTGCCTTTAGTTTTGCAGAAAATGTGTAGGGTGCATCACGTGAGGGTGGCAAGCTGTAGCCCTGGAGAGCCCTTTGAGCAGCCTGCGAGCTGCACAGGCTCAGGTGCCAAATGCAGAGGTTGTTTGCATGGTCACAAAGTCCTCTGCTAATGGTCAGGGAAAACACAACCATTGGCTAAAAGCTGTGAATTTTTCATTACAAAGAACAAGGCAGGACTTGGAGAGTGGTCACAACATTTCTGTGGGCTGGAGAGGCCATTGAGGAGAGGCAAGCCTGCACCATTCAACTTGTGGCAGACGAGGATTTATGATTTCTATTACTTTCAAGAAGGCAATTGTAACTATAAGACAAAGCTCCTCAAACTTCAGGGAAAATGTTAGATGGCTGTTTGGTTTTCTTTTGCAAAAGGATTCACTTCGTAAAAATATTATTTTAAGCTAATGTAATAAAGACTAATTCTTTCTAATTAAAATAAATAGGAAATTACACTGCCACCTGTTTTATTCAAGTGTGACAGTAATCTCAAAATGATACTACCTTTTAAATAACTTGTGGGACTCTCTTACACCAGAACTCTGAAACTAAATAGGAAAATAGCAATAATACTTGGTGCCTTTTGACTTGAAAACAAAAATTAGCATGAGAGAGCATAAAAGAGGAAATGATGCCATTTAAAGACAAACCCCGTGAAACCTTGTAATGTAAGAAACAGCATACTGAAAAAGTACCAAAATGCAAATCTGAAGTTAGGAAAGACATATCTAAACAGAAAAGGTTATTTCCCATCAGTGGATGTCTGCTAACAATATTAATAGAGCTGTTGTAAAAAGTGTTTTGTAGAAATATAACACATTTTGCATTGATATCCTATGGCAAACTAATTGTGGATGAGTCTGGAACTGCTTGTGTTCCATATTAAGCGTGACTCAGTCCAGCTAATCTTTCATATTTCAGTTGAATGTATTATGAAGCCCTTATTAAGCACAGTTAAATGATGTTCCTTCTTCACATTTTTTCGTTAGTAAAACTGTGCAAAAAGCAATATTTGAAGTCGAAGTCAGCATCAAACAAATTTGTTATGCTGAGCAGTGCGAGTCCTGACTATCTCAGAAATTCTACTGCCACTGGCAGATTAAACCATTTTTACCATTACAAAAAAATCTCTGTTTCAAATAAAAAATGGCTGGGAAATCACCATAGCATATGACCTATACCAATCAAATCACAATTGTGTTTTCCTACAAACAGATGTCTGAAGAAGATCATGCAAGATATTGGTCTGAGGACTAATTGCAAAGATAGACAAGAGAATACTGATAAATGACAGAATGCTAGAAACATCCCAGGTTGCACAGAGTACAAACATTTACCTTCAGTAATAGATATCCAAAATTTAACTAATTGGAATTCTGATTCTAAGTCTCTAAAAAAATGTAGAGTC